CGTTATAAGTAAGCCACGGTGTTATAGGTAAGTCACTTCCATTTGTGGAACAACCTGTTTCCATTAACTTTCTTGTCAGTCACATAAATTTAAGAATTAAAAATACCTCCATTGTTCTTCAGACCTTATTCCATGAAATGTTGCGAGATAACCCCAAAATATTGATATTTTGGTATAGTCCAATTAACTTTTTCAGTTGGTTTTGTATGCTAGAAATTTGCTCATCACAACTTTTCCATTTTTTTCAGAATGAAGATATGACACTCTCAGTAACTGAAAATTCATTTTGTTCCTTTCATAACGTGCTAAATGGTTTTCATAGTGTATCTTAAATTTAGACTGAATTCAATATGTGCTGATGTTTGCATGATAGATTGACAGGTGTCACTTGTAGTTTAACTCTTATTTAAAAACGTATGATAGCGAAGCAGAAACAAATGGAAACAGTCTTTGAACGATACACATTAATGTTCAGGTACCTCGTATTACATTCAAATGTTGACAAGCAAAGAAAAAAATCACTTCGAAAAACTTAAAAATTCCTCAAGGTTTGGATGTTTATTAAAGGAGAGATTTCTGTGTGTTTGGGCAGGTGCTGGAGGATCACTGTTGAGATGTTGCCTTGTGACATCCTCGCCCACCATGCCCAGCTTCATTGCTTAGAATTGCCACCAGTATCTGTACAAAACCCAGGAGCGGGAGTTGCCATTTTCTGACCATTAATTTAGGTGTAAGCCCGCGTGAGGGGCATCTCAGATCCAGGTTTACGTACCTCGTTTATCCTAATACAGCAGCAGTCGTCAGGCTCACAACTTAGAAGCATGGTCATTAAAGACTTCTACAGTCAACAGCAATTCTGTTCACTGTGAACCTTTCTCTGCAGGGTCTTTTTGGTATCCCCATGGTCCAAAGCTAAGTCTCAAGTTAATTGCACCCAAATTCCTCGCTGGTCTTTTCTTAAGGCACTGAATTCACAGCTATCTTGCTTGGAACTGATTTGACTTTCCTTCTAGTTTGTGAAAACCAGTAACAGTCTTGTTGGTAGAGGGTGCTGAAATACATGAATGTACTTAATTTATGTCAGTCTTTTGACTGTGGAACATATATTCAACAGAGGAGCTGGGTGGCTACAGTGATGGCAACTGGTATTTAAAACCCAGTCCTAGTAAATCACAGCGGATAAAACAAATCTGATGTATTACTGCAGCTCAGGAGCGACATTTGACCGTTGTACTATTGTTCTGACACTGAAGTTAGTAATGCAGTTTTGTGCCTTAAAGCAGTCCTGTTCTTCTCAGCAGATTGTAACAATTAATTCCTGTTTGGCAAAGAATCAATAAAAACAAGAGAACCTTCAGAAAATTATTTCTTACTATAAATCTGCACAACCAAAGTATAAGTGCTGACACAGGTGTGGTCAGCAAACACAGCTTTTAGCAATGTTAGATGCGGTCCATGGAGGAGCTAGCTGGCCTCTCACGTTCACAGTCTCACAGTTGTTCACATGCAGTAAAATGTGACTGTCCCTGACGTAGACTGCCATGATCTGTGTCATTTGTGATACCTTTTAAAAGAGCAACGAGCCAGACCTAGAAAAGGAAATCGGCGCCTTCTTGTTAGGTATCAGAGAACACCCTTTGAGGGCCTGACCTTAAGAACAGACTTTCAAGATCCGCATCCAGACCCACCTGGAGGATCTCCAATAGGTGGGGTGAGAAAAGCCCCTCCCGTTCCTGAGGCTGCTCGGTGGGGCAGCAAGACCCCTGTGTCCGCAGCACAGCCCGAGAGCACGGGAGCCTGCAGCTCTGGTAACAAAGCGAGTACAGAGTCTCAGCCCTTTCTCCCTTTCCCTGCTGTATTCTCTATTACATTAGCGTTGACAAGCTGCCAGACTAAACAGAGAGGTGCCCAGCGAGTACAAGTATCCGCTTTGTTTGTGGCCTCTGAAGAGCTGGGGTTTTTAACTGCAGTTCGCAATTTGAGGTACCTGAACTCTCCCCAACTCCAGGATCACAACCAATGTCCTTCATAATACTCTACAGCCTGGAACTATAGTCTCAAAATGCCACACGTAGGAAATACCTCAGATACCCTACAACCACACTGCAAGGTCCTCCACTAGGTTCTGTCTTCAAAGTCAAAGTAATATGGTGCTGGTTTTAACTGTGAGGTGCCATCGGTATCTGTTACGTCACTCCATAATACCAGATGCATTCCAGGCCTTACACCTCTGCAACGTGCCTGTTACGAAGCACTTCAAACATCTGCTGGGGATTTTGCATTTAATTTGTGCTCTCTTTGTTCTTTTGTTACTAGTGTGCATACGCTATTAGATGAAAACAAATACGTACTGCTTGATCCTTCACACAGAAAAGACTGGCACTGTAAATATATCATATTTTTGTACTTATACTGGGTGATGTCTCATTTACCAAGTTTTCACAGTATGGACTGAAGGGAAACTTCTCCTTTAAATCGCTTAAAATGAGAGGAATCAAAGTTGTATGTGTCATGGGCTTAAATCAGACTATTTTAGGTATAATTCAAAACTCATATGTAGACTTCTGGGGTTTTTTAGAAAGCTTGATCAGCATTTTCAAGTAAAGAATATTTTATCTGGCATACTGAAACTTTATTCTAACTGTGGAATAAGAATACTGGTGGAAGCTGTTAAGAGATTTGGAGGGCCATGAAATGGTGTAAGTTTTAATAGGCTACAATGAAACCAGAACTTGCTCAATTTAAAGCACGTATAAATAACATCGTTAACTGTGAAACCAATTCTGCACGAGCCTTGCTTGATCTTTGCCTCAGCGAGACATCCTTCAGATGTATTCTGCTGAGCACATCAGCTCAGTTTTGACAGCAGTTCACATCCGGTGCCTGCAACACCACCCACTGAACCAATTTCCTACGGAGCATTCTGAATCCCATCTCCCCTCTCCAGAAGCGTTGCTTCTAACACTGATGCTCAATTGACTTGCAGCAAAAGAATACGAGCAGCTGTGAAGACTCCCCTTTCCCTGAAAGGCAAGATGGGAAAACCCCAATCACCCTCACCATACGCTGATCTCCAAAATGGGAAGCACTGATGAATACCCCCCCCACACACACACGTACCTCCGCTTGATCATTTGATGTTAATTTGGAAATACCTGCATGCCTGTCATTGTCGGCAGACACTAGCAAATGCCATTTCAGAAGAATCTGGGCTACCAACACTTGCTGGTCCTTCAAGTAGGAGTTAGTTGGGCAGGGCTATGACTTCAACAGCACAACTGGACACCAAATTCACCCGCATGTGTATGCAACCTGTCTGTCAGTCCCTGAAGGTTTTAGGCAGAATACGAATTGTTCTGGGATCTCAGTCGCAAGATAGGAATAAACTTCTCACGTTACTGAACAGAGTACAACACATGGCATACTAAAAGTTTTCAAGTGCCTTCTGAGGGTAGGCAGCTTACACTAATGAGGGTTTGTAACCACAGGAAGAGACGAATTCTTAATTTTACTGTAATTTTTTCTTTAAAACAAATGTAGGAAATCACGTGCAAAGAATGACATACAGTGCAAGACTAGGACTGCACAGTTGAGCACTCAGAAGGCAGGACACGCACAAGGCAGGATGCAAAACTTGCCTGATTGTGCATAAAGTTTATGATACATGCTTCAGCGCTGCGATCTCAAGTTTTTTAGCTGCAAATGTATCTAAACTTCACCTCCCACATAATACAACGTAACAAGGGGAATAGTAGGTCATCCACCAAAGGGAAAACATTAAATAACAATTGTATAGCTTTTTGAAAGACTTGCAATACAGTTCAAAAAGCTTTGGAGCTCAAGGCAGGAATACTTGGAAACATTTGTGGCATGCGCGATGAGGAAAGACAGACTAGATTATCATAATCATCTCTTTTGACTACAAAATATATGAATGTGCCAGAAATGAATAGTCCTTACAAAACTGTCATGTTTTCAAAAAGGTTTTGCCTGTTACATAAAATACCTTTAGTCTTTCAACAAATGCATTCATAAATATATGACAAAGAAAATATTCTGCTCCCGTTCCTTGCAAATAAACAAAAAAATTATACTTAAATTGATACAGTGATTTCCTTAAAGTGGATGAAGCAAGCAAATAATTTTAAGTAATGCAGTTATAATATTATATAAGGGTATTTGTATTACACAGAATATTGTCCTGTCCTTGATACAGACATATGCTAATGCGTACTTCCTGGCACCAGTTCAAATGGGAATCAGTCAGGAATACGGCTATTACAGTACGCCATCTCCTTCAGTACTTCTCCGAGATGGCTGTAGTGGCAGTTTTTGCAATTATAGTTCTGTTGCTTAGTGATTTGGGCTAAACTCTGCATATCACCATTACAGTTTTGAAATAGAGAAGAAATTGCACTAACAGTCTGACAAAAGCCACTGAAATTCAGAGTTAAGAATGCTGGAAGGTTCATCCACAGGAGAAGAGACAGGAGTTAGTGAATTGCGTTTCCCAGTAGGCATTCACATCAAAGTGATTTAAACAGAATATTTTATAGGGTTGGTTGGTTGTTTTTTAGTACTGCATACTTTACCAGGGTTATCAGCGGACCTGCTATTTAAAACTAATTAAATACTGATATAAGTGAGGACAGACGGAAAAAACATACTTACGTTCATCTACTAGGAACCTATTGTGCCATTTAACGAATTTCAGAAAGAACCCACAGCAACTTACTACCTTGAGGGAAACACGGTTATTCTTATCTCGTGCACATAAGAAATTAATCGGTCTGACTCCAATGAGAGACAAATTGTCTATCAGTGTGTTTTTAATGAATATCGTATACAGTGCAGATGTATAAATCAGAGCACAACTTCAGCTTTGTGCTCTTCACTTCATTTTACTTACCATCAGTTCCTATTTCATTTTTAAGGTCAGTACAAGACTGGAAAAGACAGAAGAGAAGACTGAGTATTGAAGAATACTTCTTAAATCATTAGTTGTTTGTCATTTTCATGGTGTTAGACTTTAGCAAATTTATGAGGCATAAACTAGTTAGCTTTACAACGTCCAAATATTGTTAGTCTTAAAAGACTGCTCATTTGAAGCCTGTGCTCTCCACTCAATTTACAAACTGCCCCTATTTCCTTAAGCTGATGATGTAACTGCCTTATTTGCAGTGTCTTGGTCAGGATACAAATACAGTGGGCTCTGCGATGAATTTGCTCTTGGAGGTGGTTGTGTACTAGTCAGTCTTTCAGAATTTCCTGGAGAATTCTCCCTCCACCTTGGACTTGCCTGCTCCTGAGACACTTCCCACACAGATGGGCACGGGGAGGTAAAATTCATGGTGGATCGTGAGAGGTAGTTCTCCTGAAGACCTTCTTCTTGGAGGCACCTGTTTGAAAGCACTTCTTTTTCTTTGGAGTTTCGCCATTTCATCCTTCGATTCTGAAACCAAATTTTCACCTGTTTGCAAGTTAATGAGAGTTTATTACCATTCTTTTCTTTAAACAACTTTGCTCTAACAAGGTTTTTTTTTCTTTCCAACACCTTAGTTTCATGTTCCTTCCTTATTCACTGTTATAGTAGATCCAGTGAAGCTGACTGATTGACATTGAGGATTTTCCCATCACTATTTACTACAGCTGGGCCAAATGCTCTCCTTGACTTTTACCACCTCAAACAGGTATTATTTGGCATAGACTGGAAAAAGGACAGCCCAGTGGCTAGGGATTGATCAATTTCCTATAACAACATCCTTCTAGACAGAAAAGGATTCTCAGAGTACATTAGCATTGCCATTAACAAAAATGAGTGATATTACGGGCAACGTGAAGCCCTCTATTTAAAAGAGGCTTTAAGAATTATGACTGTTCCATTCACAAGCATAGCTAAAACCAGCTTGGCCATACAGCTTCAAAATGCATGTTATGACATATCACACAGTAGTGAGGATTTAAAGACATTTTGTCTGCCTGACTACAGTTTTCCAGGAGTTGCCTAGAATCCATGTGCTTTTGAGAGAAAAATCAGTCTTTCAAAAACTCAGAGTTGCAAAGCTTGATCACAAGTGTTCACCAGCATTTATGAAATGCTGGGAAAAGCTTGGGGAAATAGACATCTGGGAACTGGTTTACATAAAGAGAAGAAATGGGGAGGGGGATCAATCAAATTACTCAGATTTTGTTCTATTTTCCCTTAAATATTTGCATTTAATTCTAGTATTCAGGTACTCAATACGAAGACAAAGGGGCTATGCTTTCAAAGTTTGAGAACCATTGCCTTAGATGTGAGGTACTGTTCTTTCAGCACAACTGGTCAAAAAATTAAAGTAACCTTCACGGCAACAGCTCTTCCTTCCATGAGAAGAAAATAAAAAAAAAAAATAAAAAAAAAAAAGACATAGATACTATCTGGTCTATCATTATCATGACATTATTTTCCTGTAGTGGTAGCTGTTATCTATGTGTCATTTCACTATTTTTTACTCCCCTCGGCTCTCTTGAATATCAAGAGCACAGAATAAAAACCTCAAGGAAATAATTGTAACAATAGGAATTTGACTACATCTTGGGAAATTTTAAGCAGCACGCTGGTAAGTGTAATTGTACATTTTCATTGAAATAGTTTATCCTGCAGAGATTACAGCTCTGTTCATCACACTGAAAAGCACCACACCCTGCTTCTTTTTCCATTTATAGTTGCAGTGCTTGCAGTAAAGTCAGAGACCACTGACTGTGCCACACGTATCTCAAGCACTGTCACCCCTGCTGCATGCAAAGAAATACAACTGTACTTTCACTCTCTCTCACTCTCTTTCAGCTGTACTCTAGAGATCTGCCTCTACTCCAGCACCTTCAAAATCCCACCTGCCAGCGGCTACCATGTTCACTTTCTGCTGTCACATGCCCTCACAAACGTTTTTTTCCAGTTTCTTTCAGGTTTTGTGCTCTTCAAGTCAGGAACTTTTCCTTTGTTTTATCTGCAGCTAGGTCAGGCCCCTGAGATTCCAGATTGGGCTACTGCTGCTCAGCACCACCATTAACGTACTCATTCAGTTAGAACAGCTCACTGGACGTATTAGACCCCCAGCTAAACTAAAGTCCTGCAGTAGGCCAACTCAGACTCATGTAAAAAATCCCATGAAATGTGAATTGGCAAGTGGGAGCATTTTAGAAGGTCACCCTGCACAATTTGTCTTTCTACAGTTCCTCTGAGCTCTGAGGATCTCTCTCCTTGTGCAGCTAAGCTGCTTTCTCTAGGGATGGTTGCCTGTCTGTTGGGGCAGCACGGTTTCAGAGCAAGTGCTGTTGATTGCACTGTCACTAGCTGTTCATCTGCGAGTGCAAAGGGTGCTCAGAGGAATGCAGGAGGGCTCTATGCTCTGCTGTTTACTGCCTGGATCACTGCCCATCAGGCAGTGGGATGGAGCGTAGCTCCCTACCCCAAACTCCTGAGGGGGCTCTGTCAGACAGCAAAATAAGAGTTGGAAATGAAATGCAGAGGTCACGTCTCTCCCATTTTGTGTGAAAATGGAGCGATCAACTTTTGAATGTACACCTTCAGGAAATAAACAAGGAAGCTGTTCAAGCATGCCTTGGTAAAACTGCCATTGATTTACTGAGGTCTTTGCTCAGTGAAGGAGCTCAGGGCTGCCCTTGTGTTGTTCTATTTTCCTCCTGCAAAGCCATTTTAAAGATTTTTCTTCAAAAAGACAGAAAGTCACAGATGTTCTGTCATTCCTTACCTGAGACTCCTTTAGACCCAGGTTAATGGCCAGTTTCTTCCTGTCTGTTTTACTAATATACTTCTGCTTCTGAAACATTTTCTCCAAAGCTTTCCTCTGGTCTTCGGAAAAGACAGCTCTTCTTAATATACCTCTCCGGCCTTTGGAGTTGGACTCCTGGGTCAGAAGAGGCAGCACGCTTTCCTCTCCTAGTGGAAACGGAGGAGAGTTTCACATATTATATAACACATATCAGAGAAATATTAAGTGCTGTTAATTATAATGCTAGCAGACTGCTGTCCCACTTTTGATTTGTTGGTGTTATAAGTGTGTCGTAATGCTTTGGTCATGTTTATCAAGGACTAAAGCCTCACTTGGATCTAAAGGTGTTGTCAGTGGTCATGAGTCTCCCCTTGACATGGTAAAAAGTAAATCAGATGAGTTCATAGAGGAACATTAACACAGGGCCCACGATACTGCAAAATTCAAATATAGTCAAGGAAAAACTTCTCCACTTCCCTTTGCCCATCATCATCACTGAGTAAACTGCAGTAAGTTTTCCTAGGAGTTTCTTTTCTCCTTGTGTGAAATGCAGAATCAGATAAAAGTGGTCTGTAATACTAATTCAAAAGAAACTAAATAGGCTTTCTTTAGTTTTGTTTACCAACGAAAGGCTTTCAGAGTGAACTATATCTCAGAGAATCCCTGGCCATTCACTTACTTATTCTGGAAACAGCAGCAATTTCTTTATTAGGGGATTTGGGGAGTACTTGGACTTACTCCTTTCAGCCTTGTTTCTAATCCTTTGACACCTCATGGCAAGCCCTGGGAGGGCAGTTTTCAATGATGCCAGTCACATCCCCTTGATCCACACCTAGAGGGAACCCTACTCTGGAAAACAGCCTCAAAACTGGGGGACAGAGCTGCAGTAGAGAAGTAGTTCACATTGCCCCTTCATTGGCCTCAGAAAGAGCACAAAAAACCCAAATCCAGATAAATCTCTTGCCATCCTCACACCCAATAAAGCCTAAAGCCAAAATACTTCCCCATGCTCCCTCTGCCCTAGAAGGATGTGGTGTACGGGGAGCAGCCCCTGGTGAGGCTTGGTACGTCTCCAGCACTCCCAGCTTCCCCAAACGTTTGCCCAGGGAGCAGTACCAGAGGCCAGTGGAATAGGGCCCCTCACCATGTGATAGTTGCACGGGGCAGTTTCAAGCAAGCCAGGAAAAAGCTGCACTTTGACTGAGAAACCTCTGCCATAGCTCTATAGCCACTGACACCTAAAATATTTCTGTAGGAGGGCGGCCACGAAGGTGGCTTTAGTTTGTATCGTGCGCAATTCAGACTCCAAAGGTGCCAGCTGTCCTCCTGCTGCCCGTCTTCCCATGTACACGGGCCAAGATTGCCATCCTGGTTGACAGTTACAGCAGCTGCAAAGGTGTGCTGCTGTTCAGTGTCTATCAAGCATCTGATTGTTTCCCTATCAAAGCCAATGGCAAATTCCCCATGTAAAGCAGATTCCCTAAAAGACTTCACGTTTTTTGGTGAAAAAAGTCTATCTATTCTAGTCAGCTGTAACTGGGGGAGGGGGGGAATTAAATACTTTTTTTCCATACATATAGTGCTCTTGAAAATACTAATTAAATCCAGATGCAGCTTCCACAAACCGTTCCTTGGGGCTACACCACATTTCAACCTCTGTATGCTATACATGTGGGTATGTGCACCTTTAAACACCCTCAGAGAAACAAATACAGATAGACTGAGGATATTGCAGAACTGTGTATGTATAACGATGAGAAACTGAAGTGTGCACATGTATGTCTTGCAAAGTTGACTAAATACTTTTGTGGTGCACGTGTGACTGCCTTGATATTACATACGTTACTCCTGTTTCCTGCCTCCAGCTGTGACCAGCAGAGGAAGAGTATCAGAAGCTGAGCAAGTATACAATAATCCTTCCCTAAAATACAATGCCACTGTGAAACATTACTGATTTAGGGACCATTGCATTCTGCTAGACATGCCTTTCTTGAATTTTTCTACACTTTAAGAACCCATCTTTATATCTATCCCTCATAACAGCCTGTGGCAAAAAGTAATTATTATGATTTAAAATCTTACAGTATAAGTAAGTCAAAATTTATACAGATGTATTTTAATTTTCAAAATCATATCTGAGACAAGATACAAAAATCATAACCTACTGGTTACTGTCCTGATATTTATATTACACAGTGAGACACAGTCAGACTCCATCCAAACAAAAACAAACTAGCTGCAGAACAAAAGTTTCTGCAAAGGACATGCCAGGTTCATGTATCTCTGAGGTGTGCATAGCCCCCTCATAACCCCCACCCCAAGCTCCCATCTTGCCCACAAAGCCAGGGGCAAACCCTGGCGCTTCTTCCTCAAGCACATTTTCTCTCCTTCTTGACCGAATTTGGTGAATTTAGATAGCTTTTTCGAGGTAGCCTCCAAGTAGTTTCTGATGAATCATCAGCCATTCCCAAGTTTTCTGGAAGGTACAGTCAGACAGCAGAAGAGCTGCTACCTTCTCTCATCCCCACCATGGGAGACACCAGCAAGGGAAGAGGCATAACAGGGCTGGTCCTTGCCTCCTGGCCTCCATTCCACAATAGAGTTGTCAGCCAAGGACAGAGGACGCCAGATTATGTGACCCCTTAAACTTTGTCTTGCCTGGCTGGTTGTTAACAGTCAATCAGCAAAGAAACAACCTCCTGCCAGAGCCCCAAGGCACCAATTAATTCCCACACAGGCAGTACGCAGGGTACAGCTTAACACCTGTATTAGAATAACTTAATAGTGAAGAATCTACACGCTCCAAGGCACAGTATATGATCAATTTTAAAAGATTAACTAAACAAAATTTAATGATGAGCAGAATGCTCAGAAGCATTAGCAAACATCCACTAGGTCAAAAAATTTGAAATTCGTGTTTGGGATAATGAATACTCACCCCCAACTGACCAGCCTAGACAATTTTTTTAAGAACACCCCATATTCTAAAATGCATTCCGACTGCTCACGCAAAACCTAAATTTCAGTTTGTGCATTAAAGGATTTTTCAGTACAGCAGGATAGGCAGTCGTTCATACATTTCAACAATTCCATCAAAATGAAGTAAGTCAGTTTGCAGCCTGTTGCTCTGAACGTGCATCAAAAGGTTTAGTGTTCTGTTGACATAAATGTGAATCTGTTACCAACTATTTCCTATGTTGCTGGTTTCATTTTTGTTTTCCTTTGGGTTTTTTCTAAGTCTTTCCTTTGTATCCTAATATATAGTGATAAATGTCCTCTTAATCTGTGGAACAATCTTCATTTGCCTTCATGGCAGAGACCACCTTGAAGGAGCAAGTAAAAGCTTTAGTCATGGTTTCCATTTTTTCATTTGAATTCAATACATTCTAGTTAAATGGACAATTAATAGGTCACTTCCAAAATAGTAGTGTATCAGTCCTGGTTAATAAACAATCCCCACAGTTGATAATGGGCCTATGTATTCAGCAAGTCCCTGTATACACTCAGCTCATCCACTAAATCCCTTTTCAGGTAGACAGGGTTATATGGGAAGATGAGCTAGAATGAGTCTATAAAAGTCAGTTTCATTCACTGCTTTATTTTTCAGTCAAGTGCTTTAAATGGTGTCCAGAAAATCTCTTGGAATGTGAGACAGGAGAAAAGACTGGCACATAGAGTATTGCTTTATGGCCATACAAAAGGGCAACTGACCCTTGCCCAGGCCTTTTCAATGTGAAATGGTTCCTAAAGTTCATCTGCACAGTGAAAAATTGTGGTGAGGTCGCGTGTGGATGAGTAAAGTGAAAGTGGTGATTGGTCATGGTGCTGTCAGCCATTGTGGGAGAGCCGAGGCCATGTAAAACGCTCTGTGGGAAAGTGTCAGCCCCCTAAAGAGGTGCTCAGAAACTTGCAGCTCATTAAACTGCCAGCATTTGCTGCCTCACTTGTCAAGAATCATTCAACTTAGCAACAGCCCTTCTGAAACATTCATAAAACACATGCACATAGTCAGGAAGGGTTTGAATGCAACTCTGATAAAAAAGTATATGCTAGAGCATGCATAAGCTCCAATTTTCATTTGGATTTGACACACAATGTTTTGAAAGACAAAGAAACGCTTCTTCTGTTTGTATTTCTGAGCCATAAACAGGTAAAATCAGGAATATCCATTCTTACACTAGGGCATGCAAACTTCCCAATCAAGGTTAAATTTAGATTTGGATTAAATGGAAGTGTGTTCCAGGTCTTAATCCTGAATGTACAGTGTATACTGGCCAAAATTCTATTCAACTTACTTCTTCCATTTTTTACATTATAATTAAAAAATAAAAACAAATTAAGCATGTGCATGCATTTAACTGCTACGAAAAGAATGACTGTTTTATTTAAATAATGCTAGGGCTTCCTGAATCGTAATTTATCCCTAACAGACATTAAAATGCAGCATCCATTTTAAGATCTTTCACCTCTTTTCTTTTCTTATTTGCAAATGTTTATTGACACAGATTTTTAAAAGAGTTACTGATTTTAAAGAATCTTTTCTAGCAAACCGAAAACAAGGAGCTTTCCTAGGTTAGCTCTGTCTGGGTGTCTCAAAGCCATTAGAAACCCCTCACAATTGCTCAGTGTACTTAAGTTTGATAAATCTTTGGAAGTCCTCTGAATGGGATTGCTGTGATTTTACTAAGGAATTAGCTGCTGCCATTGCATCACCAATTAGTTTTCCAGAACACATTAAATCCTGCTGCTTTGGTTTACAGAGTAACTCAAGCATTACTGATGAAGCATAAAAACTTACTTGGAAAAGCAGTGGGGGATGCCGGGTGCTGACAGGACCCACCACAGCATGCTGAGTAGAATGGCGGGGCTCGGAGAAAAAAGTGTTTGGAAAGAGCTGCAAAGAAAGCATAGATCTAATTGATTATCCATTGAGCTTAGCTGATATTCATAACAACGGTCCTCCAAAAAGTCAGTGTGTAAAGTCCTGCCCCACAAGTTCTTTTTCCTTTTTTCAAGATGGTGATAATTTTAAGGCAAACAATGATAAACCAAGTAATTGCTCTTTAATTTAGCAAGGTTATTTTACATGTAGCTTAACTATAATATGAGAAACTCATGATATATTTATCATAAGAATGGAACTCTGCAGATTTGAAATTCACTTCTGTAATTGCTATAATTAGGGGGGTCCTAAATATTGGTAATGAACGCGTTGTTTCAATAATACATTGTTGAAACAATGAGCATAATGCATCTGAGAAAGTTATTTTAATTAACACTAGTAAGCACCATATCCTAGAAAAACAGAATCTAGAAGTGAATCTTGTCTCTTCTGCTTGTACTCCAATGCTGTTATTGGTACTCAAACCAATAAGGTCTATAATAAGAAACCTTTATGAATAAATTCTATAAAATGCAATGAGACGATCCAGCTGAGCTCTACAGGCACAAACTACAGGGCCTGATTCTGCTATCCTGACAGGAAACTTGTTCTTGCTGGGAAAGTGCTGCAAATGTAAATAAACCACTTGCTGAAGAAGGCTCTGCTTAACACAATTAAAAAAAGAAAAAAAAAAAAGGCAAAAATCAACCCACGGAATTAGGTAAGCTTTGGTAAAATTTCTGTAGAATTTTTTGAACCAATGAATCGAAAGTCTCTGTTACGTCTAAAACGTGCTTCAAATCTTGGAAAGGTCACTGCTTAATAAACCCTTTATTTTTTTTTCTATAAAGCTCATGAGCTTTTCCATTAATCTTAATCACCTTTTAGTTTCTGCTCATACTAGTCAACCACGAAACTTGGAATATTTTTGTCTTCTGAAAAGAGATCTATCACGCTTGCCAGAACTGTGATTAGCATCAAAACATGATCAGCATCAAAGCACTTATGTCACCTTTCCGTTTTGGTTTAGTCAGAAAATAAACAGATCTAGACCCTGTACTGTAGTTTGTTCAAATCTCTAGAAATTACCTGATTATTAAAAAAAAGAAAGAAGTAACTGCATATCTAGATTAAAAAAAAAATTAGAAATCAATAATCAGGAAGAAAGATAAATAGACAAATTTACCTAAGCCATGTTGTTAATTTCAAAAGGTTTTCCAACTGAAATTAAAAATTAAAATCACCCAAAATTAGGTTGTACATATTAAGTCATACATATATATATATACATACATAAATATACTCCAAGAGGAACTAACTGCCTATATTTGAGCTGTATGCTTGCAAAACATTTACAAAACGGAATGACCTACATCAGGTATTAGTATTCTAAAGCTTCTCTTCCACATGAGTCCATCAAATGCGGAACTATGTACTAACGAGCTTAAAACAGCCAAGAGCATGCAGCCAAGTATTACCTACCTTATGTATCCAAGGAGCTTCAATGCAGCTGGTGGGGTGTATGAGTTGGAAAGCATTTGACTAACTGAAGAAGCACAGGAGATGGAGAAGGTAAAGACCTGCCAGATAATCTCAGCCATCCTCCTGAACATGAGAACTTGTTCTTGACAATATCTTTTATCTGCTGCTAACATTTTATCTGCTGCAGTTCCCAAACTCCCAGGTGAAGAGCTTTTCCTCCTTTCCTTGTGAGCCACATTCCTCATGCTATCATCAAGTTTCCCTTACATCCAGGTAAAACTTTCCACTTCTAAAAATACAATTCAGTATACAGAAGGTGCCACGCTCAATTCCTTCACTTCCTTTTCACACGTCTCCATATTCCTTGGCTGCCATAATGCCTTGTTCCCTTTAACCATTGCTCCAGCACCTTATTCACGCTGTACGATTTTTGTCAGACATGTTGGGCTGTCCTTGATATTCCCTGTTATGGTTTCTTAACTATCTCCAGTTCCTCACTCTTTTTTGATAATGTTGTGTCCACAACGATAGGAGATACAGCCACCAGATATCTGGATAAATCAGGACTGAAGCTATTGCTTCAGACAGATAGCATGTTCTCCAAATACAAGATAAAGGAATAGGAAAGGAGAGGTTTTCTCCATTCACTAAATCTCTCAACAAGCAAGCTGCAAGCATAAAGGTCAGGAGACTGATGAGGGTCAAAACTTGAGATGTTTCACTTAAAGAAACTCTGAACAAGCCACAAATGTTGCTGGCAATGATTTCATGCACTAGCACAGCACCATGATATAAACAGAAAAGATCTTGCCACTAATTCTGTTCAAGTAGGTGGAAATCATGCTTCCGGCTTTCTTGTGCATTTTATTTAATCCCCTCAAGCAACTGCTGTCTTTTCTGCCTGCATTGTGCATATCCCTTTAAGGCAGAACATTTGCTTAAGAAATAAAATGCAGGTAATATCGTCATATGGTTCCTGAGACCATTTCTCAAGACTGATTTATTCTAGATCCTGTGGAATAAACAATGGCATTATGTCTCCCTAAACCTATAGCCAACACATATGTCTAGTTGATAAACTTCTTTAATGTGCTCCAACCACACTAATGCACGATGAATTCTACATTAAGTATATCAAACCACATCCCCAGGTCACATCTGCTGAAGCAGTTGCACTCAAACCAATGTGTAGTAGTTAGAGTTGTATCAGTAAAAAAATCTGGCATACTCCAAGGATACTCAACTCTACCTTGGGAGCTCTATGTAGAGAAAAATGTTAATGCTTCAACCTAACACATCCAAGCGTATTTTTTATCTTTGATAGAAACAACAGAGAATATTCATCGCATCAAATGGCTTCCACTGTCTGCATGAAACTGCATTAACAGAATGAAAATTGCTCAGAGAAAAATTATATATTTACCGTATAAATATTTCAGAATTATACTGCAATTGTACCTGAAGGAATGACACAATACCTATCAATGCTGAGGGCAATATACAGAAAGCATTGCCTATTGCTTTTATGTTCTGTTCATATATATGACGGCCACTCTACCAGTATTAGTTGGTCAAGCGATCTGAAGCAAACATTGTTTGTTGTTCACATAAGGCTAAAAATTGCTGAAATGTCAGAATATTAGTTCTGTATTTATTGGCCAGAGTGATGCACACAGTAACCAAAAAGTAGCTGTTGCTTCCAGCCACGAGGAGCACACATTAACCAGGGACCAAATCCTAACCATTTGTATTCAAGATACCTGATTCTTTTTCTGCTTTGCATTCCCATTTCATAAAAACAGAGATTGTGTGGAACTAAGCGTTTCACAAGAGTCAGATTTTACAGGTTTAGCTTCACAGATGCATGAAAATGAAATATCAGAGTATAGTATAAGTGCCTTTTGGCACCTCTAAAATTGTATTATATGCTTTAAAAGAAAATTTATTGGGTCATAAATATAAAATTATGAAATATCTTAAATTAAATAATTTTTTCACAAAAGGTAAATTCTGTCAAGACTGTTGCTGCATGCAAAATTTTAGTAATAATGCTCATTTACATTCAGCTTTGTAAATAAAAAGCATTTTATGAACAGATAATAAAATACTGAACATGCAAAAGGACCTCAAGCTCATCTAGTGCTAAAACTCAGAGATTAGCTCAGACACTGGTATTTTAAAATATAGTGCCAGCTCTGAAGAGAGCCTAAATTCAAAAGCCCTCCCATACTAAAAAGTCATGCCGACTGTGGAACCAGAAGCTTTCCTTCCAACTATCCACCATTTTCAGAGCAAGATTCCCAAGTACAATTCAGTTCAAATGGACATGTAATTTTAAAATGGCTTATTATTAAAGACACTGTTTGCTTTTCCTAATCCTAGTGTTGTGAAATGACTCAAGGAACAGTGGAGGCCATTAGCCTGCAGGAAAGGGCAAAGGGGTGAATGAAAAATGGTTATTGAGGACAAGTGAACGGATGGTAAATTTCTGGTATTACCCACACAGGGCTCCTTCACTGCATATGCTGTTAGTTTGTTGGGTTTTTTTTAAAGCTAACTGATAAAAATGTGGTATAAACCTGTGAAGAGAGCTGAAACACTTCCAAAGAATGATTCAGAAAACTGCCTAAAGCCAGCTAACAAGAAACACTATGCACAGGAACAGACAGACCTCAAGCTGCATGAACACTTCAATTCTCCGAGTATTGCTAAGCTCACACGAACTGCTTTCCACAGTGGTGCCCAGGCTCCAGCCCTAGTAGGCAAATTAAAAATATTGTCAGTAAAATGACTGCATTTCCTCCGAGAACCTCGGATGGTTTGTGCCCATGAAGTGGCACAAGTAAACTGCAATTTCCTACCCTGGCAATGATTAAAGCAGGCTTTTGCAAAGCTGCAGGGAAGTTTCATGTCATGAAGAGCTCCCTGAAAATAGTCCAGCAGCTGCTCTGCCAGGTTAGTGGTCCAGCTGAGCCACATGGCACCATTTCTGCTTCTGAACCACAAGCCCTGGGCCTCACAATGAACTGTGGCTCTCTCCCCAGCAGTTATTGTGTTTAGTATGCAATGTTCAAGCAGCCGTTGTGCACCCCCAAAGCATTTCAGCCAGCTGAAGGGGGACCCCTGGCCATGAGAAGGAAGCAACAGCCACTGCCACATCCCACCAAAGGCAGTCACCACAACACGGACATGGCAAAACTTACTGCAAGAGCCTGTGGTACAGAGCTGGCTTTCCTGCACTCCCAAAGCCACTGTCTATTCGCTTCCCATTCATTCCTGTAAAACACGACTGCATGAATGCTCAAAGGAAGTCAAGCCAAAAAGGCAGACCAAAGTGGCATACACAGATCAGTTTTAAAATACTGGCAAACATTCATAGAAAGGGTTTTGACGTTCTAAATACATATTTTTAAAACCTGCACAAAAGGCTGACGTGACAAGAGGGTTTGCATTTTTATGTTGGGTCTCAGCAGGCCTTTCAAAAATTAGCATAGTCACACCAAAAAGGTCTTGAAAGGTGCTAACAG